ATGTTGAAGTTAACTACTGTGTAATATCATTTAAACTAACATTATTCTACTGCAGAGTTTATTTAATTTTTTTGCTCTGTTTAGAGGATGATGTTTATCTTACCCACCTGTATTTTTTAAATACCAAGTTAATTCTTAATATCATTAAAAATTAATTATTACTCTCTGTTTTAATTTTATTTTCCATCTATATGTGAAAAGTTATTTTCCTAACAAAATATTGGGTGGCCATATTGTGATTTTTGGGAACCGGAAACCGTCGGTGTCGAAACCAGGTCTCGCACAGTACTAGAGATCGGTAGATGGGAATCGAAACTGGAGATTTCGTTTTGATTCCGGTGCCAAATTTGGAGGAACATTTAAACCGGCGTTCCACAAAAATCGGTCGGACCGGATTGGACACTGAACGGTTAACGGCGGTTTAGCAGTTAGAAACTGTCTTTTTTTTTTTTTTTTTTTTTTTTTTTTTTTTTTTTTTGAAACCTTTAAACTAGGAAACCAAAAAATTAAAAGGTCATAATTCAATTTCAATAATTGGAATAACTCATTCCAGTTAGTTGTTGAAATAACTTGGAAATGAATTGAATCAGAAAGCGGTGTTTTGCAGGTTTCATAGTCTAAAAACTGAAACTAACTTAATGCTTTTAGTCTGCTGAATAAGGGTGGCAAACTCGCGTTGCAATCCACTGCTTGCCATGGTAGCTTCTTTTCTAGCTTCTCTCTCTCTACAAAGCATAAATCTGTAGACTATGGATCACAATTGGACTCTTAGTATTCTTTCGAAAGAAGGAAGAGAAGGCAGATGGATTGTTAGACAAAAAAGAGGAAATAAAGGTAAAAAGGAGAGACAGAAGGACACTGGTTGTTTTATGACTATCATTCAGCTAAGGAACACGGTTAATCATTTCAACCAGCAATATGCATGATTGTACACCTGGGTATCATGGCAATAGTTTAAAGACACATTTAAAAATAAACACTGTTTAGAATCGATGTCAAAAAAAAAAAAAGAAAAAACCACATTTCTTTAGAATCGAATCCTCGATCATCAAACGTACAACTAACAGTCGCTAACCAACCCATTTCACCTACACTTAGATCGGAAGCAAAAACATCTATATACTTGTCCGTGGAGTGGTGGGGGACAGTGCAACTCCCTCGTTAGTATATATATGAAATTGTGTTCATGTTTTCAAAGGCGCTTGTAAACGTTAAAACTCATTTGAAATTAAATGGTTATATTTTATTAAAGTACTTTATAAATTGGTTTTAATATATTTTTAAATTTAAAACAAAATAATAAGTTAAAGCTTTTTTTTTTTTTTAAATTATGTTACAAACTTTTTTAAAACAAAAATAATAAGTTTCAAGTCTTTAAAAAAATAATTTAATTGACCATTTTTTAATTTTTAGTTGATATTTTTTTTTACCAATACTTTCACAAATTTATTAAATTTTAAACCGGTCTTCAAATTTAAAATTTTAAAAAAATTATGCGTTTGCAGAAATAAAATTATGCGATTTGCCAGAAAATCGGTTAGAAAACCGATGGGAACCGTCGGTTTTGACACCGTACCAAAACCGGAACTGTTCGGTTTCAAACCGGAATCGGAACCGAAAATTTTCGGTTCGGTTTCGGTTTCAGTTTTTTTGAAACCGGAACCGTCGGTTCAGGAACCGTGGCCATCCCTACTAACAAACCTTAAACATTTGTTTTCAAACTAGTACATATATGATTCCATCGTGTGTATTCGTTTGTTTATTTACATTTCTTCAAATAATATTGAAGTTAAGTACACCTGCAAGCTGCAACTTAAAAAATAAACAAATAGCTAAATTTTATTTATTTTATGATATCATGGAATAAAATCATAAGAGGGTATTATTCTATATATGTACGTAATTTAATTTATTTATATAATTTTTTATTCATTTTTATCTATAGGTGTCACAAATTAAATCAGTGACTTTAGATCGGACCGATAGAATGACTTGAGATAACTGAAGGTTAGCTATCTCGAAGCAAGCCTGTATCAAATCAGAAATAAACATAAAGAGGGAGAAAATGAAAGTTACAGAGGGAGAAAATATAATCCCATTAACATTTCTGGATAGAAAAGTTACAGAGGAGAAAATGAAAGCCATCAACTTTGACCAATTCAACTTGAGCACACAAATCTTGGACTGCTTTTAATAGCCTTTTATGGTTTGACCATTTCTGAGAAATAAATTTTAATTTATTACACAAAAATATTAAATCTTTAATTTGTGTTTCGCTAAAATACATCCATCAGCCGTTTGACAGGGCTGACAGAGCACTTTTTTACGTTTTCAATGCGCCATATCAGCATTCCGTTCAATGGCAAACGACGGATATATTTTAGTGAAACACAAATTAAAAATTTGATATTTTTACGCAATAAATTAAAATTTTTGTACCTCAATGTAACAGAGGGTGGGTGAAATTAAGCCCTATAAATAGTCAATACCCTAGGTTTAGCATACCAAGTCAACCACAAATTCATATCATAAACGTAACCAAAAACAATTTCTTACATTCACTTGGTATTTTTAAAATGTGAAGTTACTACTTGTAATATCATTAAAATAACATTATTCTACTGCAGAATTTATTTAATTTCTTTGCTCTATTTAGGGATGATGTTTATACCCACCTGTATGCAGAATTTATTTAATTTCTTTGCTCTATTTAGGATGATGGTTTATACCCACCCGTATTTTAAAATACCAAGTTAATTTAGGGATGATGTTTATACCCACCTGTATTTTTAAAATACCAAGTTAATTCTAATATCATTAAAATAATATTACTCTACTGTATAATTTATTTCACATCTATATGTGAAAGTTATTTCCTAACAAACCTTAAACATTTGTTTTCGAACTAGTTCATATATGATTCCATCGTTTGTATTCATTTGCTTATTTACATTTCTTCAAATGATGTTGAAGTTAATTACACCTGCAAGCCTCAACTTAAAAAATAGATGAATAGCTAAACTTTATTTATTTTATTATTAATTATAATAGAATAAAATCATAAGAGGGTATCACTCGATATATGTACGTAATTTAATTTATTTATATAATTTTCTATTAATTTTTATCCATAGGTGTCACAAATCGTTATTTTAGATCGGACCCATACAATAACTTGAGATAATTGAAAGTTATCTAAGCTCATAGCAAGCCTTTATGAAATCAGAAATAAACATAAAGAGGGAGAAAATGAAAATTACAGAGGGAGAAAATATAATCCCAATAACATTTCTGGATAGAAAAGTTACAGAGGGAGAAAATGAAAGCCATCAACCTTGACCAATTCAACATGAACACACAAATCTTGGACCGCTTTTATGGTTTGGAAAGACACCGATGTGACGAAATAACAAAGACATGTCCTCCAGGTTCCTATTTCCTGCGAAAGTGGGTCCAATCGTTGCGAGTCTTTGTCCTTCAATATCAGTAAATTGATAATAAGCATGTGGTGGACATGAATCAAACTGATCACTAAGGCTACACCACATGACGCGTGGGCTCTTCCAAAGCTAGAGTTGACTCGACTTGACTTGACTTTCCCAATTTCGCGTAATTAATTGTTCCTACTTTTGCTTAGTTATTATTATTGCGTTTCTAAATACTTGTAGGTTTGAAAAAAAATATTATGTTTTAAATATTTATTAATTTTATGAATTTCATAAATAATAATTTTTTTTTCATTTTTACCAGTAATTATTTCACTTTTTTTAATAATTTATTATAATTTAAATAAATTAAAAATAATATATTTAATTTATTAAATAATTTTTTTTAATTTAAACAAATTGAATCGTACTATTTCTCTTGTCGTTGGCTCTATGACGGCCTTGTATACTGTTCTATTTTTCAGGTTGGGTATAGTATTCCAATTCTCTATTTAATGTCATGGCCTCACATGCATCCGCTTTATCTAACACATTTATCTTTTCATTTTACTTAACTTAGTTTAAAATAATAAATATTTTTTATTCTAAAAAATATAGTTTTAAAATTCTTTCTTTATGTTTTGTAATATTTTTATTTTTATTTTTGAATTTGACTATTTAAGTTAATAGATAAGTAAATAGATAAATGTAGATCGCAAGGCTAGATATGAAATTATTTCCTTAATTGAATTGTATGCATGGTATAATCAGATACCAATATATTCACTGTAAAGAAAAAACAGTTTCTATAACACATTACCGAATAATATCATTCGGGTAGAAGAATGATGGGCAGCCTACCAAAGAATAACCACCACTATCTTCCATGATATGATGCATCAAGATGCATGTTGATGATATGATAATTAAATCAGATACAACAAAAAAACATTTGAATGTGTTAAGTCCAAAACTATTGGAGAAATACCAGCTTAGAAGGACGATTTCCATATCATAATGATCGAGTACCGAATCTATAAAAGACATATAAGAATATAGTGTTAAACCTTTTGGTATGTACCGAATCTATAAAAGACATATAAGAATATAGTGTTAAACCTTTTGGTATTGATTTACTTTATGGATTATAGCATTTAAATTTGTAATACAATCCTTCGGGCCGTAAAATTTAATGTGTGCTTTCTGAAGATCGAATTTGTATTCTCATCATTATGAGGATTGAAATTACTAATCACTTCAACCAATACTTGTTAGTAATTAATAATCTATTTAAATAACTCATAATTTGTTAACAATTTCTGATATTTATGAACTCTTTTTATTAAAAAAAAAAAAAAGATATACTCATTTATTTTGAAAATTACCATTTACTCATAGGTTAATGGTAAAGCAATTGCAAGAATTTCCCAAGTCTCTGGGCTTGCAATTGCAGAATAGTCGTGCTGCGTGAACTATATATATTACTACCATGTGTTTGGTCTCTATAAAGTATAAACAAACAAATAATAACAAAATGCATATAATTTTTAAAAATTCTTAATATCACACTTGTGAAGGCACCGCAGAACTTCATTTTGGATTATATAAAATATAATTACAAGAATGTATAAATAAAATTAGCCAAATACATAAACCTTCAATAGGGAATGGATAATTAATGAACACGACACTACTACTTCATACGAACTAATAAACTCACAATGTTGAATTAATATTATAAAATTACAAAAGGTAAAATCTGACAAACTGCACTAATAAACTCACAATGTTGAATTAATATTATAAAATTACAAAAGGTAAAATCTGACAAACTGCTCATCTATTTTAGTTATGCGGAGATCGGAAAAATCTAGAGATCTCCCCACCTCGGCCAGACCAGGATATGTTACTCCAAGTTGGACTCTGTAACTGTGTGATTGCAAGGGTCAACCATTCAATTCTAATTAACCCAAAAAAAATATATATATATTTGAAAAACCAAGCAATCTATACCAATTTAGTAATGAGTAATAGTTGATTAATTTTAAGTCACATTATTTTCAACACAAAACTATATATAAAAAAAGGGAATTAACAGATATTTAAAAAGAAAAGTGAAGGGGGGAAAAAAAATTAGACCTTCAATCTGATTCCCAGGCAGTGGTGGCTGTCCTTCTCTCAAACGCTTCTGCTGGTGTATGTCATAGAAATTTGATTTTGGGCATGCAAAGAGTGTTTGGCATGTGATTGGCAGGTTCAGGTGAAGCATCTATATAGGGAGGTTAATAGTATTGCTGATTTTTGGCTTCTTCTTCTCGTAAATTAGCGAGAGGTTTGAAATTCTAGCATTCTCACCTGTTTCTTGTAACTGGGGACAACCTTTGATATGAAACTCTTCTAGTGATTGTATGTTCTGTATGTAGTCTGGCAGGTCTCTGAGGGTGACAAGAAACATGTGACAAGAAACAACTTCGATAACTTTTAAACTATTAGTAGATCCTCGAAGAAGCCATTCTGGAAAATCCACTAATTTTGATAATCCTCCAATCTTCAGTTCGCGAAGGCTAAATTGACTTGCTGAGTCTTCCGTCATTGTCAAACTAAGACTTCTGCAATCTGCAATAACAAGAGTCTTTAAAGAAGCTAGGAATCTCACACTTGGTGGCAAACAAACCAAGCTGTCACAATCACGGATAACCAATGTTTGAAGCCTTTTGAGACCTTGGATATCTTCACACAAAGACTCCAGATTGTCGCAGTCGGTGATCAACAAATATTGAAGAGACTTGAGACACCCTATTCCACCAACTGGTAAATGCCTTTGCTTTGTAGTGATCCCAAGACATCTAAGATTAATCAAGTCCTTCATATTTTTAGGCAACTCTTCTATACCATAACAATCACCAAGTAGTAGAGTTTGTAAGCTTTGTAGCTTGCATATAGAATTAGGTAGTCTGTTAATGTACATATTCCCATATAAAATAAGATATTTCAAATGCTTCAATCTGCCTATCTCTTCAGGAAGCACTTTCACCCTGGAAAAACTCAAATCCAAAGCCCTCAAATATTGGAATTTTGAGATACAATTTTGAGATATCATGTTTCTAAGAAATAATCTCACTTAACTAATCCCCTTGCCTCTTTCATATGAACAGGAAATAGTTCTTTATACGATCTAGGCTTTTCTTACGGGCGCTTAGGAAGGATCCTCAGGAAGGCAAATTCAGGTAAGGAAATTGATAAATGTCGAATAATTTTGGGTTTTGGGTATCTGTTCGTTGGAAGAGGTTACTATTAAACATTCATTTTGAGTCACTGATAATGCTAGGTCGTGTATTAGATCATGCATTTTACAATATACATTACCATTGTATTCAGAGAAATCTTGGAAAAAACATCTAGAACACAGCTCTTGGAAACAACGCATGCCAACATCTTCCAACTCTTGATTTTCATTCGAAGATTGAATAAGTCCATGCGATATCCAAAAATAAACTAACTCTATATCTACAAATAGATAATCTTTCGGAAAAATCGAACAATAAGCAAAACATCTCTTCAAGTAGGATGGCATGTGTTCATAACTCAATTTTAAAGCAGGCAAAATATCATTTTCCTTCTGCTCTAATTTCCATATATCATTGTCCCTTACAAATTTCCAATCACGTTCACCAGCTACAGAGTAAAGTAAGGTTCCTAAAGTTATTACTGCCAAAGGAATTCCTTTGCATTTGCTCACGATTTCTTTCCCAATTTTTATGAGGTCTGGGTTTTGTTTATCTTCTGGTTCTTCAAATGCACATTTGTTTATCCTTCTGGTTCTCAAATGCACATTTATAAGAAATTATAGCCAAAACAATACTGCATGAGAAAGATGGTCTAACTCATTTATGATGAGGAGTCTAACTCATATGATGAGACTGTGCTCATGATTGAAGCAACATGCTTACTGCGTGTGGTGACCAAGATCTTACTTCCACTAGCACCCCCCATCAATAAAATTTTCAATTCAAGCCATTTTCTTCTATCCTCATTCCAAACATCATCCAGTACGAGTAAATATCTCTTTCCATATAAAGCCTCTCGCAGGGCGATTTGCAATTGCTCAATATCCATATTCATATTAACAGGGCTCACACAGTTAAGGATCTTAATTATCATCTTCTGCAAATCAAAGTCTTCAGAGACACATACCCATGATTTTGACTGAAAATGACTTACCACCCTCTCATCATTATACACCAATTTAGCAAGTGTAGTCTTTCCCAGACCTCCAATTCCAACAATTGGAAGAATGGGAGACATTTTCATTATCAGGCAGGTTTTCAACAATTCTTTGATAATTCCTTTTTTTATCTTTGTCCCTTTCAATGAACATTTGAAGCATCCACAAAGGAGTGGTCATTTCCCTCTCTTTACGTATGACATAACTATCACCAGTCCGCCTCAGTTGAGACCAAAATCAGACTTTGAGAGGCTGCAATTCCAGCAACTCTCTCCCTAACCTTCTTTTATTTATTGGCCCATTTGAAAAGCGGAAAGCAAGTGGATTAAGAACTTAGAAAAGAATCGGCGTACCTTCCTCGTAGTGCTTTCCAGATTTCACCACTTTGCCTGCGGTAGTGCTTCCAGATTTCACCACTTGCCTGCGCAAAGCTTCACAGCGGAACTCATCAATCACATCTTCTGCATCATAAAGGACATCTTTAAGCTTTCCAAGCCAAAACTCTATCCGGTGATCCTGGGATTGACGCTTCTCTGCATCAGAAAGCACAGCTTTGATAGCAAGTAACATTTCTTTAATTTTTTCAAGGTCATCTTCAATCCCCCATGCCAATAAAAATTCTTCAAGAGCAAGAGAGGCCAATTTCTCCAAAATGCTCTCTGCAGTATTGAACAGAAAAGACTCTGGCATTGTTTTCACTTGGAAGTGAGTGAGTCAATGATTTAATGAATAATGGTTAATATACAAATGGAAATATTATATAGCAAGCCAAAGAAGACAGGTTCTAACTTCTAATATTCCATTTCTTTGCTCTGCAAACTGGGTAAACGCTAAGTCCACAGGAAATGGGAACACTCAGAAAAGAAAAGAGGAATAAAAGAGACAAGCTAAAGTCTCTGGGCGTGCCAAGCTAAAGTCTCTGGGCGTGCGACACCTCTGTCTAATTAACATTATCGAAAAATCTTTATTTAATACTAACAATAAAAAATAATAATAATAAAGTTTCTAATTATAAAAAAATGTCAAAATAATTAGATTTAGAGACTACTTTTTATAAATTCATTGCTTAAAATATAAAAAATAGTCGCTCAAAATATTCTTCATTAAAAAACAATAAATGGTATTTTGATGGTAGCACCATTCCCTCTAATAAGAAATATACTTCCTTCTTGACCCGTTGAATTACTTGATTCTATAACTCAAATAATATTGATATTTTCAATTGTTAAATTCCTTAAATAAACAAATGCTCAAAGATAATGAAATTTTTTTTTTTTTCTCTCTTTTAAGCTCTATGCTTCGTTTGTTTCCATAAAATAACTTGTATGAAAATATTTTTCGCAAATGTCTGTTGTTAGGAGCATTCAAGAAAATAAATCAAGGAAAAATATTTTCATAGTTAAAGAAAATAACTTTTATTTTCAATAGCCTATAATATTTTACGGACTTTTGACAAACTTAGGAAAATTTTTTTCTGCAGAAATTTTTTTTTCTGTAGTATTAGGAGAAGAAGATTCAGATCTAAATCTAATGACAGGTCGTATATACATTTACTATTAAACTATGCTTTTGTGTGCTATTACATTGGAGAATTTATTTAATTTCTTTGCCCTGTCCAGGCATGATGATGTTTATAATCTAGTTTTAATAAACTAGGTCAACAATAGTCCATGTCATATAACTAAGCAAAAACAACTTCTTATACCTACTTTTATATTTTTAAAATATCAGTAAGATAATATATTACTCTACTGTACAATTTATTTCATATCTCTAATGTGAAAGTTATTTCCTAACAAACCTTAAATATTTATTTTCGAACTAGTCCACATATGATTCCGTCGTGGGTATTGAAGTTAGGTACACTTAACAGCCAAAAAAAAAAAAAAAAAAAAAAAAAAAAAAAAACGATGAGGAATTTTATTAACTAAAATTATTATGGAATGAAAATCATAAGAGGCGTAAATTTATTTTACGTTAATTAGTAGCTGTAAAATTAACCGTGAAAAAATTAACTGAGTTTAGTTAATTGTTGCTTAATTAAGAAAATCTTCAGCTATATTACTGAAACGACCCGAAATTTAATTTCGTTAGAATTTCATTTAAACCAAAATTTTTATTCAACCAATGAGATATACCAGTAGATTTTATTTATTGCTAAACTGGACCCGTAAACCAATTCGATTTTTCAAAACCAGCGAAATAAAACAAAAACCAAGCAAATTGAGCCCAAATCATTTAAATTAGACCAAAACCGGTTTCGAATCGAACCGCGAATGCGGCTCTAGAATGCAAGATTTTTCTTTCTTTTTCTTTTTCTTTCCTTTTCTTTTTTTTTTCCTTTTTTTTCTTTTCTCTTCTTCTTCCTTGCGCCAGGCGCCAATCACGCCGACCTCGCTGCCTCTCCTTCTCTCGTTTTCCCGGACCACCAGAAACCAGCGCGCCTCCTCGCCGTCGACTCCTCGCGACTCCTCGCCGCAGCAGCCCGCCTTCCTCCCCTTCTCTTCGTTTCTGTTTCTAGTGAGCGCAAGAGTCACAGCGAAGCTGGAACCTCAACGCGATCGAGACAGTCGCGTCTCCGTCGTTCCCTCCGAGCAGCTCCGGCGATGATCTCCGACGAGGTAAGTTGATTGCCCTCCCATTTCACTCCTTTAGAAATCATTTTGTATAGATTAGGCGATAAAGATTTATCGCAGGAATTGATCAAAATGGGACTTAGGGATTTAAGAATAAAAATTGGGATTTTTGTTAGATATTGACAGAATTTGTAGTAGTTGGCTATAGAAATGAGTTCTGATTCTATATGAATTGCTTCGTCTTGGCGTAAAGAATGCAAGATTTAGAACCAACGGTTACCTCGGCCACATAGACGGCGCGACAGCGGGTGGATTCGGTGCGGTGACCGGAATTCCTCATAGACAGTATATTCCAATTTTTACATAGAATCTAGTTTTGCAATTAGTTTTGCACTTTGATATTGTATAGTGTTCGAAGCATTAGACGACAGAAATCGAAAATTAGGCTTCTAAGCCGTAAATATGATCAAAATGGGACTTAGGGATTTAAGAAATAAAAATTGGGATTTTGTTAGATATTGACATAAATTGTAGTAGTTGGCTATAGAACTGAGTTCTATATGAAATTTGCTGCGTCTTGGCGTAAGAATTACAAGATTTAGGAACCAAGGTACCTCCGGCCACCATAGACGACGGCGACAGCGGTGGATTCGGTGACCGGAATTCCTCATAGACAGTATAGTCCAATTTTTACATAGAATCTAGTTTTGCAATTAGTTTTGCACTAGACAACAGAAATCGAAAATTAAGCTTCTAAGCCGTAAATATCACAGAAAGTTAAATTAAGGAGGGGTTGGTAGAAATGCAGTAGCTAAGTTATTGGGTATTCTAATCGCATGAATAAATTGGTTGTTAGCTTATTTTGTTAGCATGACTTGAGATTAAATCGAAGTTATACTTGGCTTATTAAAGGAAAATCTAGGATTTAGTGTTGTATATAATTGGTTATGGGTCATGAAATATAAATAGGTGCAGTCAAACAAACCATTTATTTGATTGTGATTAAATTTGAAAGGTGAAAATCAATAATGGGTATGTATATAAATAAGACTTATTGATTCAATTAAAGAAATTATTTTGTTTTTACTTATTAAGTAATTCATAGTAAATTATGGATTCAAGATATTGATTTGATAATTACTGTATAACGAAGAATGGTGGGTTGATAATGATAGGAGGATGGGGATTTTATTTAAAGTTCTTTGCCTGGTGGATGGGCTGCCGATTGTTTTACGGTAATTTAAACTAGATGTTGAGTATGATTAAGGAGAGATGCTGCCGGGTGTTCGGCGGAATATTTAAAAGCTAATAGGCCAAGTGTATTATTAGAAATCATTAGTTGACTAATAGAGTTATAATAGGATACGAGTTACTATTGATTTATTTAAATTTTATGGGTGCAAAAATAAGTGTAATACAAAATTTAGTAAATGCTAATAATTATTACTTAAGATAAGATGATAATTATTCTACTAATAAATCAAATAGCTTATTAAGTTAGAATTCAAACATTTGATTGAGAAATTCTTAAACACATTTAACTTCAACTGGGGAAAATACGACAAGCATTTAAGATAGATATACCATTTGTTTGAACATAGCGATAGTTTTATAAGCTGGTCTATTAGTTTTCAGCATGTCAGACCATACAGTCATCCATTTTGTAGCATCTCGACTCGGTTCATTCGGGTTTACGGGTGGACCGGGAAGGGGTGTTACATGGATACTTTAAACCAGTGGAATGTGGTGGTTAAGTAAATGTTTATTTTCATTTATTTGTTATTTTATGTATGGGCTTAACCTTAGATAGCAAATCTTGGATTGTTAATAGCTAAAGTTTTGTATTGTGATTAAATATTTATACTATTACTAGATATGGAGGAAGGGAAATTAATTTATTTGATTGCCCGATGGATGGGTTGTGTGTGTAATGGTTGATGGATATAATATTGTGATATTTGAGCAGGTAAATAGTCCAATTTTTAGGGGAGGTGCTGCCGAAATTTCGGTAGAACTTAAACTAATTTTAATTGATAACATAACAAATAAGCTTATTTAGATAATTTTTACAATTCGATACATAATAAATAAAGTGCTTTAACTACCATATCATTATCACTATCATCATTATTTTACTAATTATTCAATTACTTCTTTATTTTCATGTATTGTTTATTATCATATTATTATTTATTATTTATTTGCATTGAGTATGGAATGTCTAATTGTGGCATGGGCATTCATGTTCAACTTTGCAATATTTCTGCAATGATTTGGCAATGGCTTGATTAGTTGTTTGATGTTGACAATGTCTGCTTTGGTTTTGTGTGGAATTGGGATGTGAAGTGGGGTCACCATGGGTTGTCGAGGACGTCGATAAAGGCATGGATCCTAATTGATGAAAGTATGAATTGGACGTCGGCCGGGGAAATGGGAGATCGGCGCCCCCAGTGCACGCCTACCGTACCGTTACCGGTTTAAACCAAACAGGTGGTCTCTTATGGGCGCACCCTGGATAATCTAGATGATCGCAGCCCGCAGGGCAGTGGCCTCCTGGTTGTAGTGCGCCTGCATGATCAGATTTTGAGGAGGTAAGACGACCGGAGGACCCTGATGGTAGGGTAAAGAGAAAGAGAAGATTGAAATATAGAGAGGGCTGCTGTGTCAAAGTGAGGATTAGAACCGTCGGCCAGTATTGGGGGGATCGGCTCCCTGGTGCACACGTTGTGAGAGGGATGAGCCAGTGGCGAGACGGCTGCATCGGGGGTTTCGGTGTGACTCACTTGACTTAATTTCCACGTGATGTGATTATATGAAGATGTTAATACTAGTCTTAGTTAACAATATAAAGTAATAGGTTTATTTAGAATAATTCTATAACTTAATACATAGTAAATAAAGTATTCTAATTATTTTACTATCATCACTATTTACTTTATATTGTTAACTATTATTATTCATTAATAAACTCACATCTCTTTTGTTCAAATCTTTCAGGAAGTAGCATTTTCTAAATCCTAGCTATAACTCTGCTCTTTGCCCTTAAAAAAGAAATTCGCTAATTTTAGTATTGATCAATTAAATAGATAAATGTCCGAAGACTTATATGTATACATCCGTCAGTAAACTCCGCAGTTATAGGTTATAGAACTTGTATACTTTTTAAGTCTGTGTCATTATTTAGATGGAATAACTCTCCTGTTGTAGTCTGTATTAATAACTTATAGGTGTTATTGTAAGCAGCGGAAATTGTAAATGGTTTTAAAATTTATATTGAGATAGCAAATTTGTAGTGTGGTTCAGGCTTTACCTACGGGCTCGGGGGTCAGGCTTACTACGGGCCTCGGGGGCCTTAAGCTTACCTGGGCCCTAGTGCCGGTCCGGCCCATGGAAATGGGTCGTGACAATTACTTATCTTTAATTTTGACCCAAAATAAACTTAATTTGATTAAATATTATTTTTGGCTTTTACTACAGTAAATAATTTACTAGTACATATATTTTCTTTGTGTCATTTGGCATGCTAACTTAGCGTAGCAGGTAAATCTAATTGATTATGTACGTACTTTTTCTTTTTTATTTTCAAATTTCTTTTTTTAGAAAACTAATTTGAAAATTTTTGTGATTATATATGTATTTAAGAAAATTTTACATATCACATAATTTATATGAAAATGATATGATTTCACATAAAAAAATAAATGAATAAAAAAGTCTTTATATGAATATTAAAATTCTAGGAAATATTTAACCAAGATAAATAATTTTTTCTATAAAATTTTATAAAATGATCTTAATTAATATCATATATTAAAACATTTATAGATTTGAGTTATCCAAATTGAAATATGCATTGATTTAAATTTTAAATGTTAATAGTATTAAATTTGCATTAACTAATACATTTTTTATACTATAAATGTTAAATCCGACGTGTTAAGCTATATGTTGTTCTACTTAGCAATATTTTGAACATTAAGTGGGTCTCATGAATCCTATTCTTATTTTCAAAAAGCCACGTAAAATGAATACACCTAATTGAAAAAAATTTATCTGATCAGAAATTTGATGGTAAATGTTTTCCGTTGAAATACTGAATAGAAATTTTTCAAAAGTTTAGAAACTAAATTTGTAATTACCTCATTTTAAAATATTCAAATTAATATATATTTATGAACTTAAAATCATTAGTCAAGGTAAAGACGGCTAGAATATCCTTCATATATAGTTTTCTTCCATTCCATAATTAATTAATTAATTTTAACAAATTATACAGATTAATTCTAATTATAGTCTTAGATGCCTAAAAATACATTGAAGAATCAGCAACTAAATCGATCTAAAATGTTAATCTGATTTATTATTTTAAACAAATTCAAAGATTTAATTGACTCAAAATATTAAATTTAATCTTTTTAATCATTTTTAACTTTATTCCTAAAATAAAATAACAACAATAAAACCCTCAAGATTTGATAAGCTTATGTTAGTTAATCTACCGACTAAAACCTGCAAATTGCAATTATAGCCATTCCACGGCTAATAGCGCAACCGCCTCTACCTATTTCTTTGCCCCAAGCCTAGTACAAGTAAAAGCGTTTTGAGCTCTGCATAAAAAGGTACTCCCTCTGTTACAGTACATTCCCTTTCGTTGCTGAATGCTGAATTTTGTTATCTTAGAGTAATTTTATTGTTGGTTTTGAAATGTTATTGAATTTTGAATTTTGTTTCTTGCTGTTTGTCAATACAACCACAACTACTATTAGCCTTAAGAAAAAAAAAATCTTTCATGTGGATTTTGATAGATATTTTGCCCTAAGTTTTGATCCTCATATTTGGGATTACTGATGCCAAAGATGATTATGGTTGAGTTCGTTATAAAAAGTTAAAGACTTCTGGTGTAATATTGGCAATTTTGGATTTCTTGTTAATCTAGTTCAGTTTATCGGACTACATCTAATATGATATGCCAATGCGTGGAATGCGAATGGACTTGTATATTGAGTGTCATTGTTGAGGCTGCAACTTTTGGGACAGCACATTGTAAGAAATTGCCTTGCATATTGAGACGTCCAGGTTAATCTTTAATCATAACCTTATGCATCTCTTTAAATGAAGCAAGGTATTCTTTGGAACTAATGGGAGATTTAGCAGAAGTAGAATGATTTATTTCTGATTGATTCAGTGTAAGTTTAATGGTTCTGCCTTGTGACTGCTTACTACTTGATCAATAACTATGGGTATCTGAATTAACTAACTGGAGACCTTCTGAACCTGTGAAGAGCTGTATTTGTCAAATCCCGAAAGTCATATCAATGGTTTTGAAGTCTTCTTTAAAGCTGTAGTTTATTTGAGAGTGCTGTCTCTCTACCTGTCTCATTCTTTTCTATTTTTACATTCATTCGCTGATATACTCAGAGAATTACCGTTTCATGTTTGTCTATTCTACTGTTGCCTGTTCTTTGGTGTTGGTTCTGTTATTAATTATTGATCATTGAATTTGTATTTCTATCTTTACGGTTTTAAGTAGTTTTAGATCATAGCAGACAGTGGAGTTATCCTCTGTTTTTATCTTGATTGTTTGTGTATGTCTGCTTTTAATTTTATTGAGTAGTCTGCCTTTTTAATTTATTGAGGCCGTTCTAGGGTAACCTTTGCTAATTAATTGATTTGCGATTCTTGAATATATCTAGCAGTCTTCTACTCTTTGTTCTCCATATTCTTCTTTCTTTCTTATCTTTTAATACTTTTACTGTCTAATTCTTATTGATCCTTTTTATGTAGCTTACAGAGAAAAACATGCTAGAAAATGAGGTAAAAACCCAACTCTCAGCAAGTCAACTGGCCTGCCAAGGAAACGCTTCTACAGAGCACGAGCACATAGCAACCCACTGAGTGACTCACACTTCCCTGTTCCAATTTCCCCTTCTCATGTTGAATATTCAGTTCATTACCCTCAATTTTTCCCTTCATCTGATCAAGTGGATAGTTCCAAAAAGATTCAGTTTGCGGATGTTGGTTGTGGTTTTGGAGGGCTACTTGTTAGTCTTTCAACCCTTTTTCCTGAAACCTAATGATTGGGATGGAACTTAGGGATAAAGTGACAGAATATGTCAAGGAACGAATTTCAGCATTAAGGATAGCTAATCCAGGTCAATATCAAAATGTCTCAGTGGTTCGAACCAATTCTATGAAATACATACCAAATTACTTTGGGAAAGGACAGCTTATTTGGGAAAGGACCAGCTTACCAAGATTTTTTCCTGTTCCCGGATCCCACTTCAAGGAGAAGAATCATCGTCCGGAAGGGTTATTGTAACATTTGCTAAGATGAAGTATGCCTATTGTTCTTGAGATTGGCGGGGATATTTATACAATTAACTGATGCAATTACTGATGTGGAAGAATTGGGTGAGTGGATGAAGGCTTGTTTGGAGAATCACCCTATGTTTGAAGCCCTCACAGAGGAGGAGCTTGGAGTAGATCCTGCTGTAGAGCTCCTGAGCACAGCAACTGAAGAAGGACAAAAGGTGGCTAGGAATGGAGGACAGACTTTCCAAGCAGTCTATAGACGTATTGCTCCATCTCTATGATACATAAGAAACTTAGACATACTTAAACAGATGGCTTAAGCTAATTAAGCCAATCAGTTTTGCTAGGTTATTTTTTACCCTTATTCTTATCTGAGCAAATTTTTGTCATTGTTAATTTTGTAGGATTATGTGCTTATTATTTATTTTCTAGCTAAGATTTTTATTATCTTGTATTGTACCCTGCTTCAGTTGTATGATAATACTCCGTCTTCCCTAATTCTCACTTCATTTCAAGTCATTCATTATATTTTTCTCGTGACCGCACCTGTTGATTATGGATTGATTTTAACCATTTGGTGTTCTAGTTTTGTTATTTATGTTGAACAATGCATGGAAGCTGCTGCGTTTAGGTCCTATTGATTTTGAGTTTGAGTTATTGCAATGGAGCCTTGACAAAGAATAATGGTTATTTCATTGAGATTAGAAATGAAAGATCGGTTCCATAACCACGACTGAAGATGGCAAGTGTAGATATACCAATCATTAGGACTCAAACTATTAACCTTTCAGATTATTAGAGTAAGTTTACACTCCATTCTGAAGTTAGTATTAGGTGAAGACCCCTCAGTAAGAAATTTCTGAGAATTTTGCTCTGGTAGGTGATGTGCTAGGCTGATTAGAGAATTTTGTTATATTTAGATTGGCCTAAATTAGCAATTGAACAAGCAAATGCAGCCTTGAATTCATGCAAGCCCAGCCCGACTCGTGAACGCCCAGCCCGACTCGTGAACGCGATCTTTCCAGCCATTTCAGTGGCTACCTGCAAGAAACTTTTTGGCAGGAGACAAAAGTAAAGGAAGGCGAAGACTTTAAACTTAAAAAGATCAGTCAATTGTAGTTTATGAAGAAAGAATCTTTTTATACTTAATGTAAAAAAAAAAAAAAAAAAATCTTTTTATACTTAGTTATCAATAATTTGCTCGATAATGATTACTTGATTGTAGACTTTTCAAAATATGCCAACTTGAATTCACCGATTGATCATTTCTGCTCTGCAAGTCTGCTTTTCATTTCACCTCCGCCACCATTGCAAACCCAATTAGCGACCACTGCCTTCTTTTTCCTTTTGCTGTTTTTTAATTGCTGTTTTTTTTTTTTTAGAAAGAAAAGAATGTGGCAGAATCTTTTCTCTTCAACATAGCTGAAACTGTTCTTCACAAGTTAATATCTAAAGTTGTTGACGAGATTAGCTTAGCATAGAATGTCAACGAAGACTTAAAGAAGCTCCAAGACACCTTGTCCACCATTAAAGCTGTGCTCTTGGATGCAGAGGAGCAACAGGGAAAGGAAAACAGTGAGCTTACTGCTTGGTTATCCAAACTTAAAGAAGCTTGTTTTGATGCGGAGGATATTATTGATGATTTTGTCTATGAAGCCTTACAAAGACAATCTACTAATGGTAAGGTATGTCGATTCTTTACTAATAACAAACTTGTGTTCCATTTAAAGGACAACTCATATAGGTAACTAAATTGTGGTGTTATAGGGTAGATAATGGCTGCTATCGAATGACTCATCTTTACTAATAAAACAAATTCTGATGTTTCAATATATTAAAGTTTATTAGGTCATAAATACATGACAAGTACTACGTGCAATTTCAGAGAAGATATATATGCAAAAGTCTTTCATTGCTTGGCTTTTGAATAATTGAGATTACAGTTATATGCAAGTATATGCTCACTGTTTTGAAACGAATTAGTACTTCTGTAGATGAGTACATATTGCTGCTCAACTGACACCATCCACATGTTAGCAGCAATACTGACGCTCAAATTTTTACGTTCTTCTTAGTTAAAAAAAAAAAAAAAAAAAGAAAAAAAAAAGACAGATTAAGATGTTTTATTTAAATTTGGGTCTAGCCCTAGTCTAGACCTAGCGTAATATCGAGGAGTTTGGAAATTTATTTAAATCTTACTCATAACAATAAAGTATATATAAAATATTAATATTTTATTAATTAGGTGAATTTGATCTAGCTTGAAATAAAATCCCTAACTAACTAAATTTGAAATTCTTTACTCGAATTAGATTGAATTTGGAGGTTCTTAGAGCTATGAATATATTTATATTTATTGCAAATATCATTTATAGATTGTAATTTTTTCTTTTAGAGATTATAATTTTTTTACAACTTTCAAAATAGCATTTTATAACAACTTTTTAAGTAACTTTTAAAGTTTTGATCAGTCAAAACACTAATGTTATTTTTTATAGTGGTCAGGTAACATACCGTTGGAATTAAGTTTTAGATGTTAAGGTAGCATTTTGTGAAAAATTAATTCATATAAGGTTTAGATTTTCAGTTTAATAAAAAGCTATATAAAAGTTAACAGCTAAATGCTACTAAAATAGCTAATTTTGACGAATAAACCCTTAAATTACACATTCATGTTTTAAAAAACATCGAGTTTAAACTTTTACAGAAAAAAAGCTATTCAATAATTTATCTAATAAAATAAGATTAGAGGATATTTTAAGAAATAATATATTAAAGAAAAATATCCTTAGCAATGAATATCATAAACATAAATAAATTACTATATCATTTATAAATGACTTAGAGAATCTTTTTTTTTTCTTCTTTTTAATTCTTTTGAATGTGACATATCTCATGATGTAACCCTAAATCCAACAATTAATTGTTAGGTTGATCTCAAAATCTAACATAAAATTTCACTTTTTCTATTTTTGTTTCCCTAATAATCTATAGATATTAGATCATCTAACCCTTACTATCAAAGTTAGAGAAATGTTTTTTTTTTTTTTTTTAAACCCATATGAGGCCTCATCTAAGATGTAACCAAATCTATTAGAGTTGATATTTAGTTGAGCTACTAACCTAAAAAGTGATTCCTTGAAAAGGGCTACTTTCAAATTGCTAAATTTATAACTATTAAATAAGTATTTATAATTATTAAATAAGTATTGGGGATGAACTGCTAAATTTAGTTTATTTTAGGTAAAAATTTTAAATGCGGGAAATTATGAGGACGTTTATGCAAAAGATAGACTTTTCCCATTTTGGTGAGTAAGTGTCGGCCATAAAGTTAATTGGCTTGAACCCCCACCAGGATTAGGTCAGTGGTGGTGAACCAGTACACACGCGTCGTAGGGTATCAATCAAGTTTCTGTAGAGGGTGGACACGTGGCAAAACTTCAGTCCGATAAGGACTCGTCACTGGGACCTACATATGTTCCTTCCATGCAAACGCTGGCCTAATCCACTATATTTTTGCCACGTGTTTTTGGATTTTCCTTTCCGCTCGCTCTCTAATCCTCTTGGGTTTGCAAGATGCCCACGTCTCACATGATAAATTAATGTTATCTTAGAGATGTCATTAATCAACTATAATACGCGAACTATAATACGCGGTTTAGTGATTAGAGAATAAAAATCAAACCTTCACAATGTTTTCTTTTCTTTTTTTTTTTTTTTCTTTTTCTACTTTTATGATAACTAATCTTTTTATCACTTTTATATTAGCACATTTTAATAAATTTAAATATTGAATAAAATTATTATGGATATAGTAAAATTATTAAAAATATGATTCATTTGAATTTTAATAAAATAAGAGTGTAATTATTATATAAAATTCGATATACATTCAAATGAAAAACCTTCAATAAAAATATGAAAATTTTAGTTGAACATTAAATACTCAAAATTTCCTTTCAAAATTAAAGAAATTTCGTGGGTATGGCCTTTGTTAACATTCTAATTAATAACTTATAAAATTAATTGACATAAAAAATATAGAATGTGATAATATAAAATTATATATTAAATAAAGAAAAAAAATTATATATCTAAGCTTTCATCTGAATACTTATTTAAATGCCTGTATAATATTAAAAATATGTATTTCTATATTTATAAAGATTCTTAAATAGAAAAAATCAAGAACTTAAAGATACATCGAATATATATTATATTTTTATGTGAGCTTAAATAGTGCTTTTTTTCTTGAGTATTGGAAGAAGAAATTCAAACGTGGATCTATTATTATCTCATATATACACTTACCATTAGATGATGTAATTAATTTATTGCTCTTCCAATGAGAAATCCACAAATATACTATTACCAATTTTGGAGCTATCCTATGATGTAACTGGGAGTGGTGGAATAAAATATGGAAAGGTGCTGGCAACTGTGACCTAATAGTATAAAAAAAGTAATTATTATACAAAATTGTTACCGATAAATGAAAAACTTCAGCAATAATATGCAAAAATATTTTAGTATAAATGATAAAAATTAAAGAAATTTCGTTAACATAATTTCTGGCAAAAAAATTTTTCTGGCAAAATAATTTTTTAAATTCACGTGAAAAACACAACATATAAAATAGTTTGCTGTAAAAATATATCTTAAGTAGTTATATATAGAGATGAATTTAATATTCTAATAGTGGATAATAAAAATATATAAACAATAATAGTAAAAAAAAAAAAATTGGCATACATAAGTAAAAAAAAAAAAAATTGCATACATATATTTAGCTAGATCTTTTCTTTGAATATACTTGCTTTCATACTTGCATGATATTAAAATATTTATAGGAAGAACTAAGAATATAGTATTAGGAAATATTTTATGTTAATTAACAAACTAAATATATTATCAAAATAGTTAAATTTATGAAGCAAGTGTGTTTATGATTATTTATATATATTTAATTATTAAAAAAGATATTTAAACCCATGCATATGCTAACTCCTCATTATTAATGTATGACAACTTCATAGGGGTAGATGCAAACTTAAAGATTACATACTATACATAATATATTTTTAAATAGGTTTAAATAGTAATTAATTTATTTTAAGCATTGCTTGTCCAATGAGAAATGTACAAATGTACTATTCCGTAATTTTGGAGCTATCCTATGATGTAATTTTTTTTTTTTCTTTTCTTTTTTGTTTCTATCCTGTATATGATGTAATTAGTAGTGGTGGAATGTAACATATAGAAATGCTAGCAACAGACATTGATATTAATATTTAACACTTAATAATAGTATTCTCTTTCAATAATTATCATTTAATTAATCTATATTTATATTTAATTTAAAAGTAAGTCATCTATAACTCTATGGTCTCCAATCACTTATATTCTCAAATTAATTCTTCTCCGCCACAGATAATTTAAATCTACATATCATATTAAATTTGATTCTCATGTATAGAATAAATATTCGTCGGAGTACTTCACTTTTTAATGGACTGATCTAGTGTGAACACGATTTAATTCTAATTCAATGCGCCGAGGAAATATATGGTTAAAGAATAAAAAAAAAAAAAAGAAGATGAATCAGAACAAATAAACAAGAAGTGTTTGAAAGAAAATGTAATTAAGAGATTGTACCCAGTATTCTCCAAGTAACATGTGTCCACTGTTAAGTAATAAAGATTGGTATCAAGTGTCTGTGAATGTATTGAGACTTAGGTGTGGAATGTATTGAGACTTAGGTGTGTGAGAGTGACCTATCGATGTAAATGAAAATGGCTTGCATAGTATTTTATTTTATGATTAAATAAAATTATATAATAACATTAATTGATGTTAACATATCTCATTATCTCAATGTCTTTTTTGGCCAATAAAATCCAAAACCTTCACAGAGATGCTACTTTGATTATCTCATGGATAGATTGATTTTTTTAATAATATATTTGTTTATAAAAACGAAGAAAAAATAAATAAAAAAACAGATTTATTTTATATTATATCCATTAAATATCAATATCAATATTTAAAATAATTTGAAAATTAAACTTCCTTGTATTTGAATGGATATTATAGAGAATTTAGTGTATGGCAAATTGATTGATTTGTATGATTTACATTGATTTGATTTGTATTGATTTAGTGCATTGAATGAAAATGAAATTATATTTTCTATTTATTGTTAAAATTCAATATATCACGGCTCTTTATTTTCCACTTCTAATCTAATTTATTTTCGTAAAAATATAAAAACACTATACTCTTAAATTTATTCGAAAAAAGAAATTTTTCGAAAATAATTTCGAATCACGCATAAATTAAATTGAGATATTCATTAAAATACATAAATGATAGTCATTTAAATTGAATTTATTTAAATCAATAAAATAAAACTACAATGAATAATGATAAGGAGTAGATGACCAAAATAGACAAAAGAATAACTATTGGAAAATATTATATACGCTTTAAATATACATAGACATAAACTCTAAACTAAAGTTTTTCGTTCTCTTTTATTCTCTACGAAGTTACAAATTTTTATGTTTTTTTTAAGACTACAATGAATTCGGTGAAACATTTAAAAATAAATAAATGAGGTGTCAAACATACATTGGACGACTTTTTTTTTTTAAAAAAAAAGGGGAATATTTTAAGACTTGAGAAAAATGCACATCCTATATTATTGGAGAAGGAGAAGAATCCAGAGAAGAACTAGATAGTCTCATCCATCCAATGGGCCTCAAAGTTTTCCTCCTAGTTTGGCAGGCCTGTCTGAAAGTTTTCCTCCTAGTTTGGCAGGCCTGTCTGTGTATATAATAATAGTAAGAAAAAATAATTTTCTGCGTTGCTAGCGAAATTCCTATTAGGAAACTAATACATATATCTTTCAGTTCTAAAAGTTGATCTTTTATCCGTTAATTTCTATAAAAAGATTAAAATAATCTTGTTTAAAGAAAAATAGAAAATTTTAAATCTCCAAATTATAGCCAAATTTCTATAACGAAACTAATACATACATCCGTCAATTTTAAAAGTTGGTCATTTGTCTGTCAATTTATATGAAAAGACAAATAATATTTTTTAAAGAAAAATATAAAATTTCGAGTTTCCAAATTATAGCGAAATTAATATATAATTTTATAAAATTAACACATATCTAGTTGAGCTTGATAAATCATTAATGTATTTATTAAACGAGTTTGATAGTTCAGCTCGAATAAACTCGTTGAGCTTATAGAACAAGTTCAAACGAGCTTTTTTCAAACGGAGCCTCAAACATTTCACAAGTAGATTGACTCATTTACAATAATACTCATAGGGAGACTTTTTTAAATCAATTTTAAATATAAAATCGATTATCACTTTAGAAAGAAGATTTCAAATTTAAAGGATCAACCAGATATCTATTTTCAGTTTTATTTGAAGGGCATTAAGAATCGACAATCAAATATCAAATTTATAAAAGGGCACATATAAGGACGGTGGCGAGTAGATTACCCACTTAAAAATTAATGACATTCCCTTAATTTTTAAAGGACTTCTTTTATACAAGTACAATATTACAAGTATTAGTACAACATTAATACAATTACACTAGACAAACATAAAATACTCAAATCCACAAACCACAGAAAATTGTAAAAAATAACACAGTAAGGAAGGAAATGGAACCAACAACATGAAGGTGAGGATGGTAAGTGACCTCAACCCCCATAAGGATGAAAACACAAATTCTATTCCCAAAAAAACGCACTTTACTGAAAAGCTAAAAACCTTTACACTCTACGGTCCAAGGAAATTACACCTACTGGTTGTATGAAAAAAAAAAAAAAAAAAAAAAAAAAAAGCCCAACAATTTTGAACGTTTAACATGGTTGGCTGATAATTTTTGTTGAAAAGGCCCACACCTGCAATATATAATCCAAGTCAAAACAGTTTACACAAATCATTCAAAAACCTTAGCTTAATAGGTGAACAAGTGTTTCATTTCTCTAACAAATTCAATTTTATCTTTTTTTTTGGTTCACAAGTTCGTCTATAAATATAATTAATTAATGTGGTATAAAATTTTTCAAGGTGTGAATATATACAAAGAGGAAATAGCCAATATAAGGAAAAAAAAAAAAATAGATATAAAAAGCGAAATATTTACCTCTGGGGCAATATAATTCACTGCACCTAGCAACCTCGTATAATTTCCATCTTCCAAACACTCAAATTAAACCAGCATGAACATTTTTTTTTTTTTTCCATTTTGAAAAATGTGTTATCAATAATATCAAAGGTTTAAATCAATAGTTTTTTTTCATGTTATACAACAAATATTTTTAGTAACATAATTATTCAAAATTTGAAAAATGATGTAGAAGACTATTAATATGTATAATGTCTTACTAGCAATCAAGCTATTCCTTTGGTTCAGGGAAGCCCACGTGTAAACGCAACTCAACTAATTGAGGTTTGGACCTATTAATCCAGAGACATAAGAATTGTCAAATTAACATATATACATCATAAATATAATGTTCTTGTTCTCTTAAGAAATGGTAAATTTTCTAAGCATATTGTATTTTAATTTTAATTAGTTAAATATATGAAAAAACATTTGACCACCAATAAAATTATGTTTTTAGATGAAACGAAAATTAAATAAGTTGATTAATAACATACTCCCTACACCACTACCAAAATATAAGCAGTTTAAAATTTTTACATGAAGATTGAGGAAACAATTAATCTCCATCATTCCAAATTACCCTATATTTCATATAATAATATCCTCACCTTGATATTGGGGGCAATCAATGATGCTTAACTCAAGCGATGGTATGTTGTGGATGTAGTTTGGAAAGTTCCTGAAGTTGCTACAAAATGCAACTTCGATAACTTTTAAACCGGTATTAGATCTGGGAAGAAGCCATTGCGGAAAATCCACTAACTTTGGTAATCCTACAATCTCCAATGTGCGAAGGCTAAATAATTGGCTTGTCGAGTCTTGACTATCTATTCCTTCCTCCATTGTCAAATCAAGATTTTCGCAACCCGCAACAACAAGAGTCTTCAAAGCAGCTAGCGCAACAACAAGAGTCTTCAAAGCAGCTAGAAATTTCACACTTGGTGGCAAAGAGACCAAGCTGTGACAATGACGGATAACCAAAGTTTGAAGTTTTTTCAGACCTTGGATATCTCCAAACAAATACTCCAAATTTACACAACCGGTGATGTACAAATATCGAAGAGACCCGAGGCACCCAATTCCACCATTTGGTAAATACCTTTGTTGTGTAGTTATCCAAAGGCATCTAAGGCTAATCAAGTACTTTATATCTTTGGGCAACTCTCTAAGACCACGACAATTACCAAGCAGTAGAATTTGCAAGCTTTGTAATTTGCATATGGACTCAGGCAGTCTTTTAATGCCAATATTCCCAAACAAACTAAGATATTTCAAATGCTTCAATTTGGCTATCCTTTTAGGGAGTACAGCCACCGTGGAAAAATCCAAATCCAAGGCCCTCAAGTATTGGAATTTTGAGATACATGTTCTAAGCAATATCTCACTACTAATCCCCTTGCCTCTTTCATTTGAACAGGAAATAGTTCTTAGACGATCTAGCTTTCTTACGGGCTTAGGAAGATCCTCAGGAAGCAATTCAGGGTAAGGAAATAATAAATGTCGAATACTTTTGGGTATCTGTTCGTTGGAAGAGGTTATTATTAAACATTCATTTTGAGTCACTGATAATGCTAGGTCGTGTATTAGATCATGCATTTTACAATATACTTTACCATTGTGTTCAGCGAAATCTTGGAAAAAACATCTAGAACACAGCTCTTGGAAACAACGGATGCCAACATCTTCCAACTCTTGATTTTCATTCGAAGATTGAATAAGTCCATGCGATATCCAAAAATAAACTAAATCTATATCTACAAATAGATAATCTTTCGGATAGATAAATCTTTCGGAAAAATCGAACAATAAGCAAAACATCTAACAATAAGCAAAACATCTCTTCAAGTAGGATGGCATGTGTTCATAACTCAATTTTAAAGCAGGCAAAATATCATTTTCCTTTTGCTCTAATTTCCATATCTCATTGTCCCTTACAAATTTCCAATCACGTTCACCAGCTACAGAGTAAAGTAAGGTTCCTAAAGTTATTACTGCCAAAGGATTTCCTTTGCATTTGCTCACGATTTCTTCCCCAATTTTTACGAGGTCTGGGTTTTTATCTTCTGGTTCTTCAAATGCACATTTAAAGAATATATATAGCCAAACAATACTCATGAGAAAGATAGTCTAACTCATATGATGAGACTGTGCTCATGATTGAAGCAACATGCTTACTGCGTGTGGTGACCAAGATCTTACTTCCACTAGCACCCCCCATCAATAAAATTTTCAATTCAAGCCATTTTCTTCTATCCTCATTCCAAACATCATCCAGTACGAGTAAATATCTCTTTCCATATAAAGCCTCTCGCAAGGCTATTTGCAATTGCTCAATGTCCACATTCATATTAACAGGGCTCACACAGTTAAGGATCTTAATTATCATCTTCTGCAAATCAAAGTCTTCAGAGACACATACCCATGATTTTGCCTGAAAATGACTTACTACCCTCTCATCATTATACACCAATTTAGCAAGTGTAGTCTTTCCCAGACCTCCAATTCCAACAATTGGAATAATGGAGACATTTTCATTATCAGCAGGTTTCAACAATTCTTCGATAATTCTTTCTTTATCTTTGTCCCTTCCAATGACATTTGAAGCATCCACAAAGGAGTGGGTCATTTCCCTCTCTTTACGTATGACATAACTATCACTAGTCCGCTCAGTGAGACCAAAATCAGACTTGAGAGCTGCAATTCCAGCAACTCTCTCCCTAACCTTCTTTAATTTAAATTTATGGGCCATTTGAAAAGCCGGAAAGCAAAGTGGGATTAGAACTAAAGAAAAGGAATCCGCGTTACCTTCCTCGTTAGTGCTTCAGATTCACCAGCTTGCCTTGCGCAAAGCTTCACAGCGAAAACTTCATCATCAATCTTCTGCATCATAAAGGACATCTGAAGCTTTCAAGCCAAAAACTCTATCCAGGTGATCTGGGATTGACGCTTCGTCTGCATTCAGAAAGCCCAGCCTTGATAGCAAAGTAACATCCTTTAATGTTTCCAAGGTCATCTTCAAGCCCCATCCAAGAAAATGCTTGAAGAGCAAGAGCAGTCAGTTGCAAACGCTTTCTGCATATTGAAACAAAAAAGGGGGGAACTTTTTCTTTTTTGCCCCAAATTTGGGGTTTTTCGTTGGAAGTGACGTGAATGGTTTGAATGTGCAATTATCAAACACAAATGGGAAATGATTTTTTTTTTTTCCAGCATAATAATTTATTTATCGAGTATTATATGACTATGAAAAACCTACACACTCAAGGCATCTAATCCCAAGCCATTCAAAAAACCTAGAATAAAGATGTAAAGTGGAAAAACCTAGATTCTTCGCATCGCGGAATAAAGATGTAAAGTGAAAACCTTAGATTCTTCGCATTCGCTGGACAAAGAAGATAGACGTTCTAATATTGCATGTCTTTGCACTGTCTAGGCACGATATTTATTCTCTAATTTTAATCGGCACGATATTTATTCTTTATTCTCTACGTTTAATCGGCACGATATTTATTCTCTACTTTTAATCGGCACGATATTTATTCTCTACTTTTAATCGGCACAATATTTATTCTCTACTTTTAATCGGCCAATGGGTTTGTGATTAAAATAAAAAATAACATTATTAAACTGTGGAATTCATTTCATTTATTTGCTTTGTGCAGTGCAGCGACCAATATAGGAAAAAAAATTTCATATTTTTTTTAATAAATTTTATTAATTTTGTAGATTTCAAGATACCTCCTGAATATTTTAAAGACATTTTAAAAAATTTATAAAATATTTAAAAATTTATTAATAAAATTGTGGTCTTCAATATATATTAGATAATTATTTATACGTAAAGTAAAAGTTTAAAGATATGCAAATGAAGAAAAATCCAAATAATTATCACAGTTTATAAGTTTTTGCCTACATAAATATCTACTGGTGTTAAATTTAAAAGGCCGTTTCACAATGTTGATTTGAAATTCAAGATTTCACAAAACTTATATATCATTAGTAAGCTTCGGTTTTTATCAAGAAAATGCCTATAATATTATATTCAACAAACTAAAATATCTAATGTTTTAGTGATGAATTTGAAACTTCTAAAAATATTGAAATTCTTCATCAAATTGCTAATTTTCTCTAAACAAATCAAAGATAGAGGCCCTAATTTTTAATAATTATGTTAAGATTGAAAATTTAATTAAGAATATTAAAGTAGAAAATTTAAGTAATTTTTTATTTTATGTTTCTGTGGTATTATGGATCATCGTTTCTTTGTTTGTATTTTTTTAATAATCTTTATATTCAATTAGCATAGCATGTCTAAGCGTGCTGTGTCCTTTTTTCATACATAATATAATTTTTGAATTTTGATAAAAAATTTTGAAAAAGTTAATTATTTAGCCATTATATATGACGAAATTATATGTTTTCTCATCTCTCTCTTGCTTTTTCCAATATTTAGAGGAAAACACTCTTAAAAGTGGACGAAGAGATTATTTAGAGTGACAGATGCAAACGTTAGGAATGTTTTGAATATTTATTCAAAACGAAGGAATTTCTTAAATAATTTCATCATACCTTAGGGATTAAATAATTAATTTTTTAAAATTTTATGTCATCCTAAACTTTAAAAGCAACATTGTGATACCTTGAATTTCACTTTTTGTAATAATCTCACACCTCCTTAATTGAGAACAATATTTTTTAAGGTTTTTCGTTTTTATTTACAAAATATTGATTTGATACGTGGTTAATGAAACTTTTGAAACAATATTTTTTTTATATTTTTAACTATACAATAAGTGTTGTTTACAAGTTGAGACATTGAATGGTCAAATACAATGTTTACCAAGTCAAATATAGAATTGTTTTGGATCCAAATCTAAAACCATATGATTACTGTTCACTTTCTTTTCAAGTCCCAAATATATAGTTTTAAAGAAAAATCTAGACTGAAGGAGAAATTGATAAAATGAAACATATACAAGTAATACAAGGTGAAAATCACATTATTTGAGGGATAACTTATATAATACAAATTTTTATTTGAAATTTTGGAAAAAGAATCAATTTTGTTAGCAAGAGAGACATTTTTGGAAGACGTAGAGAGTCGTATATTGAAGAGATACAGAGGAGTAGAAAGTTCATGAATAGCTTATGCAGAAGATTGTTTTTTGGAGGAAATATGAGAAGTGGAGAGGCTACAATGGAGGAAGTTATCTGCAGCAAAAAAGCAAAGAGCCGATGTTGAAAGGGTTTGTAGTGTTAGTGCGCCCACCGCAAAAAATATTTCTAGTCTGCAAATAATTAAAAATAAAAAAAAATCTTTTTTGTACTCTATTTCGCATAGGGGTAATAGTAACTGATTTAAATCTTTAAGACGTCACAAAATCATTTTCACTAGTAGAAAGGACCATAAAGTTTTTTTAGTAAAGTTTGAGGATATGTGCTTGGCCTATAGGCTATATCTATGTATGTGCAAGCAAGAATTTTATGTCTATAGATAGAGCTTAATTTCACTCATCGTATCTGAACTATATCCCCTGTTACATTGACGTATCAAAATTTCAATTTATTATGCAAAAATATTAAATTTTTAATTTGTGTTTCGCTAAAATGCATTCGTCAGTCTAGCCGTTTAGTATTAGACGAAATGCTGACATGGCACGTTGAAAATGTAAAAATGTCCTCCACCAGCCTTGCCAAGTCAGAGATGTAGTAAAACTCTCTCTCTTCCTAACTAAATCCAATTTCTCTCTCCTGCCCGAATAAGACCCATCTCTCTCTCTCTCTCTCTCTCTCACTGAAGCTCTCATCAACGGCCAAAGAAGTATCCACAGCCATCTTTCATGAGTTTGGTCGTGCAATTGCAGGATAGTCGTGCTGCGTAAACTGTATATATTACTACCATGAGTTTGGTCTCTATAAAGTATAAACAAACAAATAATAACAAAATGCATATAATTTTTAAAAATTCTTAATATCACACGTTGTGAATGCGCTGCAGAACTTCATTTTGGATTATATAAAATATAATTACAAGAATGTATAAATAAATTAAGCCAAATACATAAACCTTCAATAGGGAATGGATAATTAATGAACATGACACTACTACTTCATATGAATTAATAAACTCAGAATGTTGAATTAATATAGTAAAATTACAAAAGATAAAATCTGACAAACTGTTCATCTATTTTAGTATGCGGAGATTGGAAAATCTAGAGATCTCCTCACCTCGGCCAGACCAGGATATGTTACTCTAAGTTGGACTCTGAAACTGTGTGATTGCAAGGGTCAACCATTCAATTCTAATTAACCCAAAAAATATATATATATATATTTGAAAAACCAAGCAATCTATACCAATTTTTAGTAATTAGTAATAGTTGATTAATTTTAAGTCACATTATTTTCAACACAAAATTATATAAAAAAAAGGGAATTAACAGATATTGAAAAAGAAAAGTGAAGGGGGGAAAAAAAAAAATTAGACCTTCAATCTGATTCCCAGGCAGTGGCGGCTGTCCTTCTCTCAAACGCTTCTGCTGGTGTATGTCATAGAAATTTGATTTTGGGTATGCAAAGAATGTTTGGCACGTGATTGGCAGGTTCGGGTGAAGCATCTATATAGGGAGGTTAATAGTATTGCTGATTTTTGGCTTCTTCTTCTCTTCAGTTAGCAAAAGGTTTGAAGGTGCTGCAGACCCCCCCTCGTCAGGTGCTGGGTCTGTTCGATTATGATAGATTTGGGGCCGTTTGGCCAAAGCATCTTGTGTAATTCACCATGGGTTTTATTCCCTCCTTCTTGATTTAAAAAATAATAATAATTAGACCTTTTTTTCAAAAACATTACATATTTACTCCTAACAATCTATTTGAAATTATAGCATTCTCACCTGTTTCTTGTAACTGGGGACAACCTTTGATATGAAACTCTTCTAGTGATTGTATGTTGTGTATGTAGTCTGGCAGGTCTCTGAGGTTGTGACAAGAAACAACTTCGATAACTTTTAAACTATTAGTAGATCCTCGAAGAAGCCATTCTGGAAAATCCACTAATTTTGATAGTCCTCCGATCTTCAGTTCGCGAAGGCTAAATTCACTTGCTGAGTCTTCTTTCATTGTCAAACTAAGACTTCTGCAATCTGCAATAACAAGAGTCTTTAAAGAAGCTAGGAATCTCACACTTGGTGGCAAAGAAACCAAACTGTCACAATCACGGATAACCAATGTTTGAAGCCTTTTGAGACCTTGGATATCTTCACCTGTCACAATCACGGATAACCAATGTTTGAAGCCTTTTGAGACCTTGGATATCTTCACACAAAGACTCCAGATTGTCACAGTCGGTGATGAACAAATATTGAAGAGACTTGAGACAACCTATTCCACCAACTGGTAAATACCTTTGCTTTGTAGTTATCCAAAGACATCTAAGATTAATCAAGTCCTTCATATTTTTAGGCAACTCTTTTAGACCATAACAATCACCAAGTAGTAGAGTTTGTAAGCTTTGTAGCTTGCATATAGAATTAGGCAGTCTGTTAATGTAAATATTCCCATATAAAATAAGATATTTCAAATGCTTCAATCTGCCTATCCCTTCAGGAAGCACTTTCACCCTGGAAAAACTCAAATCCACCTCAAATATTGGAATTTGAGATACATGTTCTAAGGAATTATCTCACTACTAATCCCCTGTGCCTCTTCTCATTTGAACAGAAAAAATAGTTCTTATACGATCTAGCTTTCTTACAGGCTTAGGAAGATCCTCAGGAAGCAATTCAGGGTAAGGAAATGATAAATGTCGAATACTTTTGGGTATCTGTTCGTTGGAAGAGGTTACTATTAAACATTCATTTTGAGTCACTGATAATGCTAGGTCGTGTATTAGATCATGCATTTTACAATACACATTACCATTGTATTCAGAGAAATCTTGGAAAAAACATCTAGAACACAGCTACATCTAGAACACAGCTCTTGGAAACAACGGATGCCAACATCTTCCAACTCTTGATTTTCATTCGAAGATTGAATAAGTCCATGCGATATCCAAAAATAAACTAATTCTATATCTACAAATGGATAATCTTTCGGAAAAATCGAACAATAAGCAAAGCATCTCTTCAAGTAGGATGGCATGTGTTCATAACTCAATTTTAAAGCAGGTAAAATATCATTTTCCTTTTGCTCTAATTTCCATATCTCATTGTCCCTTACAAATTTCCAATCACGTTCACCAGCTACAGAGTAAAGTAAGGTTCCTAAAGTTATTACTGCCAAAGGAATTCCTTTGCATTTGCTCACGATTTCTTCCCCAATTTTTATGAGGTCTGGGTTTTGTTTCTCTTCTGGTTCTTCAAATGCACATTTAAAGAATATAGCCAAACAATACTCATGAGAAAGATGGTCTAACTCATATGATGAGACTGTGCTTATGATTGAAGCAACATGCTTACTGCGTGTGGTGACCAAGATCTTACTTCCACTAGCACCCCCCATCAATAAAATTTTCAATTCAAGCCATTTTCTTCTATCCTCATTCCAAACATCATCCAGTACGAGTAAATATCTCTTTCCATATAAAGCCTCTCGCAAGGCTATTTGCAATTGTTCAATATCCATATTCATATTAACAGGGCTGACACAGTTAAGGATCTTAATTATCATCTTCTGCAAATCAAAGTCTTCAGAGACACATACCCATGATTTTGACTGAAAATGACTTACTACCCTCTCATCATTATACACCAATTTAGCAAGTGTAGTCTTTCCCAGACCTCCAATTCCAACAATTGGAAGAATGGAGACATTTTCATTATCAGCAGGTTTCATTATCAGCAAGGTTCAAACAATGCTTTGATAATTCTTTTTTATCTTTGTTCCCTTCCGAATGACATTTGAAGCATCCACAAAATGGAGTGGGGTCATTTCCCTCTCTTTACGTATGACATAACTATCAACTAGTCCGCTCAGTGAGAAACCCAAAAATCAGACTTGAGAGCTTGCCAATTCCGAGCCAACTCTCTCCCAACCTTTCTTAATTTACGGCCCATTTTTGAAAGCGGAAAGCAAGGGATTAGAAACTAGAAAAGAGATCGGCGTACTTCCTCCGTTAGTGCTTCCACATGTAGTGCTTCCAGATTTCACCACTTGCCTGCGCAAAGCTTCACAGCGGAACTCATCAATCACATCTTCTGCATCATAAAGGACATCTTTAAGCTTTCCAAGCCAAAACTCTATCCGGTGATCCTGGGATTGACGCTTCTCTGCATCAGAAAGCACAGCTTTGATAGCAAGTAACATTTCTTTAATTTTTTCAAGGTCATCTTCAATCCCCCATGCCAATAAAAATTCTTCAAGAGCAAGAGAGGCCAATTTCTCCAAAATGCTCTCTGCAGTATTGAACAGAAAAGACTCTGGCATTGTTTTCACTTGGAAGTGAGTGAGTCAATGATTTAATGAATAATGGTTAATATACAAATGGAAATATTATATAGCAAGCCAAAGAAGACAGGTTCTAACTTCTAATATTCCATTTCTTTGCTCTGCAAACTGGGTAAACGCTAAGTCCACAGGAAATGGGAACACTCAGAAAAGAAAAGAGGAATAAAAGAGACAAGCTAAAGTCTCTGGGCGTGCGACACCTGTCTAATTAAGATTATCGAAAAATCTTTATTTAATACTAACAATAAAAAATAATAATAATAAAGTTTCTAATTATAAAAAAATGTCAAAATAATTAGATTTAGAGACTACTTTTTATAAATTCATTGTAAAATATAAAAAGTAAGTTGCTTCAAAAATATTCTCATTAAGTACAATAAATGGTATCTTTGATGTGAGCCCCATTCCCTCAATTAAAAAAATATACTTTCATTTGACCCGTTGAATTACTTGATTCTATAAACCCAAATAATATTTGATATTTTCAAATGTTAAATCCTATAAATAAAAAACAAGATGCTCAAAAGACAAATGAAAGTTTTTTTTTTTTTTTTTTTCTCTTTTAAGCTCTTTGCTTCGCTTGTTTCCATAAAATAACATGCATGAAAATATTTTTCGCAAATTCTATTGTTAGAAGCGTTCAAAAAAATAAATCAAGGAAAAATATTTTCATGGTCAAAATAAAAAATAACTCATTTTTAAAGAAAATGACTTCTATTTTCAATAGCCTGAAATATTTTCCAGACTTTTGACAAACTTAGAAGAATTTTTTTCTGTAGAATTTTTTTTTTTTGAATATTAAAAAAAGGAGATTCAAATCTGAATCTATTGAGAGGTCGTATATACACTTACCATTACCCTATACCTTGATGTGCTATTACATTGTAGAATTTATTTAATTTCTTTGCCCTGTCTAGGCATGATGATGTTTATAATCTAGTTTTAATAAACTAGGTCAACAATAGTCCATATCATATAAAGGTTGCAAAAGCAACTTCTTATACCCACTTGTATATTTTTAAAATATCATTAAAATAATATATTACTCTACTGTAAAATTTATTTCATATCTCTAATGTGAAAGTTATTTCCTAAGAAACCTTTAACATTTTTTTTCGAACTAGTCCACGTACGATTCCGTCGTGGGTATTGAAGTTAGGTACAATTAACAGCAAAAAAAAAAAAAATGATGACATATTTTATTAACTAATTATTATGGAATGAAATCATAAGATGGTATTTATTTACGTAATTAGCAGTGAAAAATTAATTATTTTAGTACCTGCTAATTAAGAAATCTGCAGCTATATTACTTATCTTTAATTTTGACCCAAATAAACTTAATTTGATTGAATATTATTTTTGGCTTCTACTACAGTAAATAATTTCCTAGTACAAAAACTTTCTTTTTGTACCATTTGGCATGATAAGTCTAGCGGGTAAATCTAATTGATTATGCATGTACTTTTTTTTTCTTTTCAAATTTCTTTTTTTCAAAAACTATTAGGAAAGTTTTTGTGATTATATATGTATTTAAGAAAATTTTACATATCACATAATTTATATGAAATAATGATATGATTGCACATGAAAAAATAAATGAATAAAAAAGTCTTAATATGAATATTATGATATTAAAATTCTTTGGAAAATTAACCGCCAAGAAAATAATTTTTTCTAAAAATTTATAAAATGATCTTAATTAATATCATATATTAAAACATTTATAAGATTTGAGTTATCCAAATTGAAATATGCATTGATTTAAATTTTGCATTGATTTAAATTTTATAAAAGATTATTATTGGTGTTTTGCACATTATCCATTTTATAAAACAGGTAACAAGATAATTAAAAGATTTCATTATTTTTTTAGTTAATAGTACTAAATTTGCATTAACTAATACATTTTTGATACTGTAATGTTAAATCCCACGTGTTAAGCTATATGTCGACATACTTAGCAATATTTTGAACATTAAATGGGTCTCATGAATCCTATTTTTATTTTCAACAAGCCACGTAAAATGAATACATCTAATCGAAAAAATTTTATCTGGTCAAAAAAATTTGATTGTAAACGTTTTTCGTTGAGACACTGAATAGAAATTTTTCAAAAGGAATAGAAATTTTTCAAAAGTTTAGAAACTGAATTTGTAATTACCTCGTTTTAAAATATTCAAATTAATGTATATTTATGAACTCAAAATCATTAGTGAAGGTAAAGACAGCTACAATATACTTCATATATAGTTTTCTTCCATTCCATAATTAATTAATTACTTTTAACAAATTATACAGGTTAATTCTAATTATAGTCGTAGATGCCTAAAAATACATTGAAGAATCAACAACTAAATTGATCTAAAATGTTAATCTGATTTTTTTAATTATTTTAAATTATTTTAAACAAATTCAAAGATTTAATTGACTCAAAATATTAAATTTAATCTTTTTAATCATTTTTAACTTTATTCCTAAAATAAAATAACAACAATAAAACCCTCAAGATTTGATAAGCTTATGTTAGTTAATCTACCAACTAAAACCCTGCCAATTGCAATTATAGCCGCTCCACGGCTAATAGCGCAACCGCCTCTCTTGTAACTGGCCTGGAGAAAAGCAATCCCTAATTCCCAAATTCTCCAATCTCTTCTTCTACCTATTTCTTTGCCCCAGGCCCAGTACAAGTACAAGCGTTTTGAGCTCTGCATAAGAAGGTACTCCCTCTGTTACAGTATATTCGCTTTCGTTGCTGAATGCTGAATTTTGTTATCTTAGTGTAATGTTGGTTTTGAAATGTTATTGAATTTTGAATTTTGTTTCTTGCTGTTTGTCAATACAACCACAACTACTACTTAGCCTTACAGAAAAAAAAAAAAAAAAAAAAAAAAAAAAAAAAAAAAAAAATCTTTCATGTGATTTTGATAGATATTTTGACCTAAGTTTTGATCCTCATATTTGGATTACTGTGCCAAAGATGATTTATGGTCTGAGTTCGTTAACTAAAAATTTAAAGACTTTGGTGTATATTGGATTCGGATTCTTGTTAATTAGTTCAGTTATCGACTACATCTACTATGATATGCATATGCCAATGCGTGAATGCGAATGGACTTGTATATTGATGTGTCATTGTTGAGCTTGCAAATTTGGGACAGCAACATTGTAGAAATTCGCCTTGCTTATTGAGAGTACAGGTCTAATCTTTAATCATAACCTTATGCATCTTAAATGAAGCAAGGTATTCTTTGGAACTAACGGGAGATTTAGCAGAAGTAGAATGATTTATTTCTGATTGATTCAGTGTAAGTTTAATTGTTGTGCCTTCTGCTGCTTACTACGTGATCAATAACTATGGGTATCTGAATTAGCTAACTAGAGACCTTCTGAACCTGTGAAGAGGTGTATTTGTCGAATCCTGAAAGTCATATCAATGGTTTTGAAGTCTTCTTTAAATCTGTAGTTTATTTGAGAGTGCTGTCTGTCTTCCTGTCTCATTCTTTTCTATGTTTTACATTCATTCGCTGATATACTCGAGAATTACCGTTGCATATTTGTCTATTCTAATGTTGCCTGTTCTTTGGTGTTGGTTCTGTTTTTAATTATTGATCATTGAATTTGTATTTCTATCTTTCGGTTTTAAGTAGTTTTAGATCATAGCAGACAGTGGAGTTATCCTCTGTTTGTATCTTGATTATTTGTGTATGTCTGCTTTTAATTTATTGAGCCATTGTAGGGTACCTTTGCTAATTATTGATTTGTTAGATTCTTGAATATATCTAGCAGTCTTCTACTCTTTGTTCTCCATATTCTTCTTTCTTTCTTATCTTTTAATACTTTTACTGTCTAATTCTTATTGATCCTTTTTATGTAGCTTACAGAGAAAAACATGCTAGAAAATGAGGTAAAAACCCAACTCTCAGCAAGTCAACTGGCCTGCCAAGGAAACGCTTCTACAGAGCACGAGCACATAGCAACCCACTGAGTGACTCACACTTCCCTGTTCCAATTTCCCCTTCTCATGTTGAATATTCAGTTCATTACCCTCAATTTTTCCCTTCATCTGATCAAGTGGATAGTTCCAAAAAGATTCAGTTTGCGGATGTTGGTTGTGGTTTTGGAGGGCTACTTGTTAGTCTTTCAACCCTTTTTCCTGAAACCTAATGATTGGGATGGAACTTAGGGATAAAGTGACAGAATATGTCAAGGAACGAATTTCAGCATTAAGGATAGCTAATCCAGGTCAATATCAAAATGGGATAGCTAATCCAGGTCAATATCAAAATGTCTCAGTGGTTCGAACCAATTCTATGAAATACATACCAAATTACTTTGGGAAAGGACAGCTTACGAAGATGTTTTTCCTGTTCCCGGATCCCCACTTCAAGGAGAAGAATCATCGTCGAAGGGTTATTAGTCCGCATTTGCTAGATGAGTATGCCTATGTTCTTGAGACTGGCGGGATTGTTTATACAATTACCGATGTGGAAGAATTGGGTGAGTGGATGAAGGCTTGTTTGGAGAATCACCCTATGTTTGAAGCCCTCACAGAGGAGGAGCTTGGAGTAGATCCTGTTGTAGAGCTCCTGAGCACAGCAACTGAAGAAGGACAAAAGGTGGCTAGGAATAGGGGACAGACTTTTCAAGCAGTCTATAGACGTATTGCACCATCTCTATGATACATAAGAAACTTAGACATACTTAAACAGATGGCTTAAACTAATTAAGCCAATCAGTTTTGCTAGGTTACTTTTTACCCTTATTCTTATCTGAGCAAATTTTTTCATTGTTAATTTTGTAGGATTATGTGCTGATTATTTATTTTCTAGCTAAGATTTTTATTATCTTGTATTGTACCATGCTTCTGTTTTATGATATTACTCCGTCTTCCCTAATTCTCACTTCATTTCAAGTCATTCATTATATTTTTCTCATGACCGCACCCGATGATTGTGGATTGATTTTAACCATTTGGTGTTCTAGCTTTGTTTTTTATGTTGAACAATGCATGGAAGCTGCTGCGTTTAGGTGCCATTGATTTTGAGTTATTGCAATGTAGCCTTGACAAAGAATAACGGTTATTTCATTGAGATTAGAAATGAAAGATCGGTTCCATAACCACGACTGAAGATGGCAAGTGTAGATATACCCATCATCAGGACTCAAACTATTAACCTTTCAGATTATTAGAGTAAGTATACACTGCATTCTGAAGTTAGTATTCGGTGAAGATCCCTCAGGGAGAAATTTCTGAGAATTTTGCTCTGGTAGGTAATGGGCTAGGCTGGTTAGAGAATTTTGCCATATTTAGATAGGCCTAAATTAGCAATTGAACAAGCAAGTGCAGCCTTGAATTGCATGCAAGCCCAGCCCCCAGCCCGACTCGTGAACGCGATCTTTCCAGCCATTTCAGTGGCTACCTGCAAGAAACTTTTTGGCAGGAGACAAAAGTAAAGGAAGGCGAAGACTTTAAACTTAAAAAGATCAGTCAATTGTAGTTTATGAAGAAAGAATCTTTTTATACTTAATGTAAAAAAAAAAAAAAAAAAATCTTTTTATACTTAGTTATCAATAATTTGCTCGATAATGATTACTTGATTGTAGACTTTTCAAAATATGCCAACTTGAATTCACCGATTGATCATTTCTGCTCTGCAAGTCTGCTTTTCATTTCACCTCCGCCACCATTGCAAACCCAATTAGCGACCACTGCCTTCTTTTTCCTTTTGCTGTTTTTTAATTGCTGTTTTTTTTTTTTTAGAAAGAAAAGAATGTGGCAGAATCTTTTCTCTTCAACATAGCTGAAACTGTTCTTCACAAGTTAATATCTAAAGTTGTTGACGAGATTAGCTTAGCATAGAATGTCAACGAAGACTTAAAGAAGCTCCAAGACACCTTGTCCACCATTAAAGCTGTGCTCTTGGATGCAGAGGAGCAACAGGGAAAGGAAAACAGTGAGCTTACTGCTTGGTTATCCAAACTTAAAGAAGCTTGTTTTGATGCGGAGGATATTATTGATGATTTTGTCTATGAAGCCTTACAAAGACAATCTACTAATGGTAAGGTATGTCGATTCTTTACTAATAACAAACTTGTGTTCCATTTAAAGATTGGGCATAGATTGGGCATAAAATGAAAGATATTAGAGAGAGATTTGATGAAATTGCTGCTTTGAAGAATAAGTTTCATTTAAAAGAAAGATTTGTAGATGAGAAAGTTGAATATAGGAGGAGAGAGATGACTCACTCCTTTGTTCAAGCTTCAGATGTTATTGGGAGAGATTTTGACAGAGATAAAATTATCGAGTATTTGTTGCATTATAGTGAGAAAGAAAATCTTTCAGTTGTTCCTATAATTGGAATTGGTGGCCAAGGGAAGACGACATTAGCTAAAATGGTGTATAATGATGAAAGGGTAGACAAGAATTTTCAATTGAAGATGTGGGTTTGTGTGTCTCAGGAATTTGATGTTACTAGGTTGGCTAAGGAGATTACTAGTTCTGCTACGGAGATTACTAGTTCTGCTACTGGTAGGAGTTATGGTGATCTGACAATGGATCAATTGCAAGCACGATTGCGGAGGAGTTTAGGTGGTAGAAAGTTTTTGCTTGTTTTAGATGATGTTTGGAATGAAAATCTGGTTAAATGGGTTGAATTGAGAGGTTTGTTGGAGGGTTGTGCTTTGGGAAGTAAAATTATTGTAACTACAAGGAGTTCAAGAGTTGCTTCTGTTGTAGGCAATGATTTTGCATACAATTTGCCTGGTCTTTCCCATAAGGATTGTTTGTCTTTGTTTTGGAAATGGGCATTTAATCCAGGACAAGAGAAGCAATATCTGAATCTCAGAGATATTGGGAATGAGATTGTAAAGAAATGTGGAGGGGTTCCTTTAGCAGTGAGAACATTAGGAAGTCTACTTTATTCATCAACCGAAGAAAAAACTTGGGTGTCCATCAGAGACAATGAGATATGGAAATTACAACATCAAGAAAATGACATCCTACCGGTGCTGAAGTTGAGCTATGATCACATGCCATCTTACTTGAAACGATGTTTTGCTTATTGTTCCCTCTTTCCCAAAAATTATGTGTTGTACAGTTTTGAATTGATTTTTCCCAAAAAATTATGTTGTTGTACAGATGTTTGAATTGAATGCAATCTTTGGATGGCTTATGGCACTTCTTGAAATCGCGCTGATGAAGATGAAGAATTGGCACAGAGAATGGGCTCTGCGTTCTTGCTGAAAAGAACTGTGGTCGAGATCTTTTCATCCAAGACTATTGAGGCCGATCATGGTTCTCTCTTTTTACCTAGCAAAAGCCCATGATCTTGTCACATGATCTAGCCTGTATCCAGTTGCGACCAAAGTGAGTTGCTCAACTGGAAGAGAATGGGTTGCGTTTTGTGAAAGAACTGTGGTCGAGATCTTTTCTCCAAGATATTGAGGATCATGGTTTCTTTTTTACCTGCAAAATGCATGATCTTGTACATGATCTAGCTGTATCAGTTGCGCAAAGTGAGTGCTCAACTGTAAACTTTCTCACCCCATCGGTCGACGAAAAGGTCCGTCATTTATCCTTTTCAGGCAGTAATTTGCCAAGTCAACAGGTTCCTAAGTTCTTACACAAGTTAAAGAAGGTGAGAACTATATTTTTCCCAGTTAGGGGGATGGGGCCTAGTAGCAGAACATTTGTTGACACCTGTATGTCAAGATTCAAGCACTTACGAGTGCTTAATCTTAGCGATTCATGCTTTGAGACATTGCCAAATTCAATTGGTACTTTGAAGAATTTGAGATATCTTGACCTTTATAGGAATCGGGAGCTTCGAAAACTCCCTAATTCCATTTGCAGGCTGCAGAATTTGCAGACCTTAAGACTTGAAGAATGTGAGAAGCTTGAAGAAATTCCTAGAGATATCAAGCACATGACTGGCCTCAGGTTTTTGGAGATAACTACAAAACAGACTTCCTTACCAGAAAACGGTATAGGATGTCTCAGTTCTCTAAGATATCTGTCTTTGTTTGAATGTGGAAATTTGGAAAAATTGTTTGATGATATGCAGGCTCTGACATCCCTTCGAACATTGGTTATAACTTCTTGTGGGAGTCTAGCATCCTTACCTCGCGGTATAAGGAATCTATCTGCATTAGAGACTTTGGTGATTGGAGACTGTGGAAAGCTTAATTTGATGGAAATGGAAAATACTGAAGATTTCAATCTGAGCCTTAGTTCATTAGTCCTCGGAGAATTACCGCAGTTGGAGACATTACCTCAGTGGCTTCAAAGCTCTGCAAGCAATTTACAATATATGTATATCGATGATTGTCCTAACTTCACAGCATTACCAGACTGGCTGCAAAATCTAACATCACTTAAAAGGCTTGAGATTATAAGATGTCCTGAATTGTTTTCTTTGCCAGAGGGGATGCATTGTCTTGCTTCCTTGAGAGAACTGAGAATTGGACTTTGTCCTGAACTGTGTGAAAGATGTAATCCAGAAACAGGAGATGATTGGTCTAAGATAGCCCATGTTCCTGATGTTTTCCTTAATGGCATCAAGATTAAAGCAACTGCTAACTAGGTATGGAATTTTTTTGGTTACTGTTAAGTTTATAATTTCATGATTCTACCTGCATGCTCTTCATGTTCAATGGATTTTATTTGCTATGACAATTGAAACAAACTCCTCTCACTGATTTAGAGCATGTTTGCCAAAATTAGCATTTTAATAGTGTTTAACCATTTGAGTAGCTGTTTGAGTAACTTTTTATAAAACGGTAAAAAGATAAACATTACAAGGGTTAACCCTTTATAAAACATTATCTTAACCTCTCTAAAAGCTAGTTCTAATGTTATGTTACCGAACATTATGAAAAATAGCAAATGCTAAAAGCTATTTAAAAAGTTATTGTGCACCAAAGGCTTAGTCTGCCGTAGACCTATACTGTAAATATCCGTGAGATATTAACATCTATTCTAATGGACTAACTATATCATTAGGACAAATTCAATTTTTAAGATAAAGTTCTTGATACCCAAATTAGGTTGCATTTCAGAGACCAAATAGTAAATAACCCATATATTTATTGATTAATTTTTGTTGAAAAATCTTTACAACCTTCATATATATTAGGTTCTCAATCATTTTTCATTCTGGTTTGACAGACTTAGACATCTAGCAAAACTCTCAAGCTCCAAAAATTCAGTCTTGGTGGCTTTGCTTGTACTTTGTGGTTTTACCAAGAAAAGTTTGATCTCTAAACAAAAGAGAAAAACAAGAAAAAGGATTCCTGCGAGTGCCTCCAGCCAAGCTTAGTGAAATTGGGTTGTGTTGATATGAAGTTTTGATTATTTCTGATTTGATTTTGCAGTTTTCCCCACTGCTGTAACTCATTTGATTTGCTGTAATGCAATATGTTATTTCTAGTTGCCTTGCAACTTGAGACATAGAGCATGTAAAACAATTTGTATGAACATTGTCCTAATCAAGTTGCAAGGTATAAAGTTAAAAATAATACTTTCTGCTGCTTCTCTTTATCCTTGTACTTTTAGTTGTCCACTCGTTAAATGGTATGTGTAACATTCCCCAATTCTCTTCCCGAATTCCATATCGGAATTTGGCGGATCTAAAGCGGACAATATGTGAATCCAATATCGGATAAGCGTTAAAAAGAAGCGAGTATGGATGGAATTGAACTTTATTCAAAGTGGGTACTATCTTACAGGTCTCGACCATTACAGTATAAAATTAATTGCAAAAACAATTTCTAAACCGTAAAATTATTAATGACTTTATTTATCTTTATTTTAAATTCTAAATCAAATTTTGAATTTTAGTTTAATTAAAAAAAACTTAAAATTATTAATATTAAGCATGACATAATATTATGAAACACCACCTAAATGGATATATAAAAAAAAATTCATACATTTTAGAGAGTAATATAATAGTTATTAATAGAGGAATGCTACCAATAAACAACAAGATGATATTTTTGGACTATTACTGTTATTGAAACTTAATTTTATATCAACTCTACATACATAGGAATTTGTGGCCATTATACTAATAAAAAAATTATTTATTTATATATTAAAAAAATGCTATTGTTATTATTTAATATTTTATTAAATATTGGAAAATGATTAAGCACGTTAAAACCGGAATATACATGCAGTCCTTTTTAATTTCCATGATTGAAGAAACAAAATAATTAAATTAACTTCTCCAAAAAAAAAAAAAAAAAAAAATTATTTTAATATTTAGTTTTAAATATTGGAAAATGGATTAAGCACGTTAAAACCGAATATACATGCAGTCCTTTTTAATTCCATGATTGCAAAAACAATATAATTACTCTCACAAAAAAAAAAAAAAAAAAAAAAGCAAAGAAAGAAAGAAGGAAAAAGTTGTCCCAATTTGTAATCACCACTAATTTTAAAAAGCAAGAATGGCCCAAGTTGGCCAAGTTGCTGGCTACAACTTCGACAACGAATGATATGCGCAGCCGAACACGCAGTCGACAAGAGAGACAAGACAAAAAAAAAAAAAAAAAAAAAAAGAAAGAAAGAAAGAAGTAAAAGTTGTCAATTTGTAATCACCACTAATTTAAAAAGCAAGAATGGCAAGTTGGCAAGTTGCTGGCTACAACTTGACAACAATGGATATGCTGAGCCGAAACGCAGTCGACAGAGAGACAAGACAAGCCAGAAGAGAGAAGAGAGCAACTTCTTCTTGCAAACTATATTATAAAACAAACTATATTATAAAAAAATTCCACCTTTTCAAAACAATATGCTCAAATTGGAGAATTTTTTCTAGACAAATGGTTCTAAGATTTTGTGTATTGTAATGATCAGTGTATGCATAAATTTAACATAGATTTAGGTTCAAATCTTTATTTTTTTAAAACCAAAAAAAATTACATGGGTGAGGAATTATAAAATTAATTTTTATGATGGTTTTTTTTGCTCATGCTAAATGTAACTAATTGGTTTATGCACTACATTAGTAATTATAAAGATTTTTATTTAAAAATATTTTTTTATTTTTTATTTAATGAAAAACACCTTGGGAGAAAGGGGCTAATGACATTTTTTTCGTACGTGTTTCAAACCATTTGGTACTCGATGTTCACTTGCTCAATTAATTTAGATTTATGCTAAATAGACTTGTAAAGAGGCATAGTGCTATTCTTGAGTATTTAAAGGCACTCTATAATTAGAGTTCAAACTCAAAGAATAGCTCGATCCGGTGCTTTATTTTTATCCTAGGTGACCTTGATTCGACATTAAAAATATATTGATTTTTCCCTAATGATCAAATACTATTGTTTGTAAATACCGCATATTTAATTACGTATATAAATCCATTTGCTCCCCTATGAATTCTAAGAATTCTCACTATTTTTTAATTTCATGGACCCAATTCAATTCAGTGGGTTCTTGCATTTACATTTTTTTTTTCCATCAAGAACATTTTAAAAAACTCTTGGACACCCAAATTCAGAGCATCTTACTTTCACGCAATTTATAGGGTTCAACAAGCAATCGATATTTCACGATCAAGAGCCATCTCTAATGATGAATCAACAATTCAAAGTGTTTTTCTTGCGTATTCTTGATAAACTAGCGTTTATATATAGATGTAGGAGATCTGTTTGGAAAGTAAGAAGCCCTTTTGACATCTCTTTATTTGCAAAGAATTTTTTATGTGAAAATGAGGGACAAAGAACTAAACTTCGAATAGAAAAAAGAGTGGATCCGCAGAGTCTCAAATGAATTGACTTATTCGAAAATACTTGTTCTTTTAAAGAGTCTCGTATTTGGTACTGTATTATTCCACTTTGCAAATTTCTAATTAAAGAAAAAAATTTCTACTATCTCATCTCATCCATCGAAAGTGATTGGGCGAATCACATCTAATAACACCTTTAACAATTATTAACAATTTATAATCTAGAAAGAAACTTCCACCAAGCCAAAACTTTCTTTCCTCTTTGTACCAAAAGTGCCAATTGGATTTAAACAAGTGTAAATGAAGTTAGGGAAGCCTCATTCATTGACTTCCATTTTATCCTTTATAAGATAGAGTACCCATCATTCAAAGACTTCTTCTTTTTCTTCTTCTTCTTCTTCTTCTTCAATGGGACCAAGAAGCAATTGTAAATTGTCTTTACTAATTGATTTAGGTTAATTAAGGTCCTTTTCGATGTTGACTAATTATTGGCCGACATAGTCCAAGCTCATTGCACCCAAATATGAAAAATGTAGGAAACTACAATATCACAATCCATGACTCAAGTTTTTTTATTTTCTTTTATTTTATTATTATTTATTTTTGGCCTTTTTCAATAGAATAGGTCAAAAGGGAATGAACTTGGGGGGTCAACGTTTCATTCCCATTTTTCTAATATTAAAAAGAAATTTCAACATTTTTCATTTTTTTTATGTTTTAGTCCTCAAAGCAAAACAAGCACTTAATTTGAAAGTTAAAAGGCATTACAAAATCACATTAGATTATTTATAAATAATCTTGGTCATTTCTTTTTTTTTCCCATTTTTAAGGACATAAAAAAAAGATTTGAATTGAATTATTTCAACATAATTTTCATTAATAGGGAAATAATATTTATTTTAATGTGTAAATATTTTTTATTTAACTTAATATCTAGCCTATCATAAATTAGAAAATTTTAATAAATATGATTTTATATATATTACGCTTATTAAAAAATTCACAATCTATTAAATTTAAATTATATTACATTTTTCTTTTAAAGCACGTTTATGTTTTTCTTTTTTCTTATCATACAATTATCAATTGTTACTAATGCATATCCAATTCTTTCAACTCTTTTGTCTACACTTGTACAATTTTCGAAATGGTACATACAATAATTAAAACTATTAGCAAGGATATGGATTTTTTTTTAAATGAAAATATTTGGAGTTAACAAAACAAAATTTATAATATGTATGTGTAGAAATTTCAGATATTATACGTAATTTATTTTTAGTCTTTCATTCTATTATGGCTTTACATCTCAATTCAGAAAGAAAAAAGAAGGAAAGCAAGTCAATTTATATAGTTAGGCTACCAAACATAATATTAAAAAATAATATTAAAACCAATAAGTTGTTGGATGGTACAATACTTTAATTCTGTATGGCTAAAAATATAAATTCGATTTTTGAAAAGTTCATTGAATTGGAAATTATGCTCTCCAAACTATATATATTATTTATAAATTTTTTTAATTCAAATATAAATAATTAGAGAGATAAACTTAATATTATCTGAAAAATAATAAATATCCATATCATGTTAAACCTTACTATTCATTTTGGTAATTAAGGCAAGTTTATTTATATATATTCAAACTAAAGTTTTGCTTAAATAATCTTAAGGACCCAATTTCCAAATTGATTTGGTTCTTTCATAAATACTATTTTTAGTATTTTTAAAATATTTCCAGAAAAATGAATCCTTAATTGAGAAAATTCTTATTAATTCAACTAATTATATTAATGTAATATATTAAATGTAATTGATCTAACTTCAAGAATATGGTACTAATAATCACAAAATTAATTAAAAATTGGCCTATTTTAGAATTTAACCATCAATTATTTTCTCTCCTTCAAAAATTGTAATGTGTTTTAAAAGCAATTCATGAACAATTAATTTTTGTTCAATAAAAAAAAAAAAAAAAAAAAAAATTAACCATCAATTATTTTCTCTCCTTCCAAAAAATTTAATGGTGTTTTAAAAGCCAACTTCATGAACAATGTAATTTTGTTCAATAAAAAAAAAAAAAAAAAAAAAAAAAAAAAAAAAAAAAAAAAAAAAGGAAACAAGTAATTAATGTATGTACAAGCATCCATGTGCTTTTTTAACTCCTTTTAAGATTGTAGTCTTGTGATTTACAAGCAACATAATAATTCAGTGAGTGAATTTGAAGTCTTGTTCTCTTTTTACATACAATTATAAAGTCTTGTTCACTATTTTTTTTTTCTTTTTTTTTTCTTATATATACTCTTAAAAACTTTAAACATCATATATTAATAATTCCTTGAATTTTCAAAATTAATTTCTTAAGACTTTTTTCACTATATAGTAAATTAATATTAATTATTTACACGTATTATTAACAAGGGTATCGTGAGAAAGTGAAAAAAAATTCTAAAAAATATAAATGAGATTATTATTCTGAACAGAGGGAGTATGACAACTGTTAAAATCTTATAATTAAACTTAAATTATTGGAAATATATATTATATTACATTATATTATATGATGGTATAACTTCTTTAAAGGAGGTTATGATTTGATTAAAAAGAATTATATTAAATTAGGCACAAAGGGTAATTAACACTTAATACTATATTATAAATGTCTTATTGTAGAAAAAGTGGTGCTTATTGAGTAATGATTTTGACAATATAGCATTAGTATGCACCGACTCATTGACTCACCATATGAGTACCCGTGAAGTTACAGATTTCTCTAAAATGCCATTTATATTTTTAACTCTTTTTTTT